GTGTGGTCCATGCCGCCGCTGCCGGGTGCCTATGACGCACTCCCGTTGGGCGACGTGCTTGACCTCGCGAGTGCGAGCGCACCCAGTCGGCTGCCGCTTCGCTGACGCGCTGTCGGTGGGCCGTGAGCTGCCAAGTGGAGGACTTCTCCTACCGCGCGGGCGTAAAAAAGGTCCGGGAAAATAAAAAGATGCCACGCCGCGGTCGCTCTGCCAAGTCCACGGCGTCCGAGTGCCGGAGCACATCGCCGGCGAATTCACGGTGCACGAGGCGGTCGGTGATACGCCTTCCGTACGTTCACGGCCCAATCTCGGGGGTCGCCATGTTGGCCGCCCTACAGCCCGGAGCATCCGTGCATATCGGATGGGTGGTGCGCCACCTTGGCCCCCAGGAAGCCAGCCTCGAGCTTTTTGGTGGTTGCGCCTTCGCCGCAAAGCTTGACCGCGCTTCCGATGCCTTGCCTCCGCCTGAGCGCAGCAAGGCGGTCGGAGGGGCGCCCGCCGAAGCTGCCCACCCCAACCGCTGTCCCGACTCCCACTCGAGCACATCCCTCCGCACACTCCTCCTGCCGCGGTTAAGCCTTTCTCTGCGTGCTTCTGCGATCGGTCAATGCGTTGTCCAAGCTCTTCGCTTGGCTGAAATTCTCATTGTCATAAACAGTTGATAAGCAAGCCATCCTCGCCAGTGGCAATTTTGATCACACACTTCGTTCCCATGTGCATGCACATGAAGTCGCCATTGATGTCTATGTTTTGTTCTCGGTTGCCAAGAATTGTCTCCGTGTTAGTCAGCCTAGCCTCCAACGGAAAAATGCCCATCCGAATCTCACGACGCACAGAATCGGCAATGGCACTTGCAGAGAGGCCCTCGTCCAGCTCATTCAATGGCGATTTTGATTTTTTTCCAGACTCTCCTTTCCGGCATCATCGATGTCATCGCAGTGCGCTGCAGAGCAAACGAACGCGCCAGCGTCGCTATGGCGGCCCATGTTCTACGCACTGACAGCTTGAGATGGCTTGAGCCTAGACTGGAGCCAAATCCTGGAGCCAATGAGACAACATGGCTACGCAGGTTCCGAAGTAGAGCAAAAAAGGAATTGTAATATGCGTGCGCTGCCACCTTCTGCAGAGATTCGTTGTTGTTCAAAACGAATAGAAGTTACAACTAAGCGGTCTACCATGGCGACGCGCAGTGTTTGTCGCGAGACCTGGTCCGACTACGGACTTGTGGCCTCAGGCTGGACGCGTGGCTAGTGTGGCAGGCTGTCCGTCGCAGTGCAGCAGGCGGTTACCCGCACAGCTCTCGGCCGGCTTCGGCCAGAGATGGCTCCAACCGCTGCATGCCACCAGCATCACAAGCACACCGCTCGATCGCCTTCGCATCCTCGCAAATGCCGAAGGGCCGAGCCCCTTGCCGCTGCGATCCAAGTAGTAATTAATAGTGGTGGAAAGTAGGCCCTGGGTTCACGTAGAGCCCACGGAGCTGACACGAGGTGGACAGGAGCAGTGCAGGAGCAAACAGGCGTCAGCAAAAGCAAACCTTGCCTGCCCCAGTCCAGTGCAGTGATCCACCCCTGAACGGGTGACTGAGCAAGCAGCTTTGCCGACCACGTTTTGTTGTCCGTGCTCTCACTGCAACAACTTATACCCCATGTTGAGGTCAATGGTTGTGTGTTTGCGAAAAGTCGGCGTACTATAACGTGCGTGCAGCCTCGTTTTGGTAAGAGGGAACACCAAAGTCGCATCGCAGCAACATGCGTGTCATTCCCATGCAGCTTGTGCGTTTTGGGCGGCGGGGTGAACATGAGCTGCTCGTCACCGGGATATGAGCGCTTGAGCATGCCCACCTCGCATGACTTGCACACCACGCTGTGGGTCAGCAGTGGCTACCGCACCAGTACACCGGTTCCAGCCCTTTGTCGCTGCACTAGCAGACCGATTCCGCAAGCGAGCTTTATATGGATGTATGAAAACATTTGATATCCGACACAAATTTAGAGCGTAAGTATGTTGCATGTTCGCCAGGTGCCCCTTGGCGGCCGACGTGTTCCAGTAATCGGCGAGGCCACGGGCAAATTTCAGTACCAATATGTGTCAAGTGAGGGATCGTATGGAATCGTTCCAAACTGTTCACAGACAGTACCATGGGAATGTGTGATGTTGTGTGTTGGAATTGATTAATGCAGAGCGTCTATGTTGCCGTCGTCGGCGAAAGGTCGTGATCGGCAATTGTCAGTCTTGGTCCTTTGCGTTGTCGCCATCGCCATCGGCGTCGTCCTCGTCGTCGTTGTTGTTGTTGTTGTTGTTGTCGTCACTCGTCCTTGTCGTTGCTGTCGTCCTCGTCCGTTTCGTTGCCCCTTGCGACAGTATGGTTTCAGGCCGCAATGACAACGGGCTGAAGCCAAAGTTTGGCAGACCATGCGGCAGGCAAACATCAGCCTCGCATTGTTGGACCGCGCGCTTGCCTTCGTTCCTTTCAAAGCATGGTTGCTTAGCGTGTCAATCCGGTATGCCTGCACGTTGCAGTTCCTGGACTTCCTGGTTACATTCACTTCCAGGTTTGATGATTACAGCATTTGACGTTTTATCGCTGTACGCTGCCAAACCAAGGCTCTCAAAGTTGGAGCGCAATTCTGAGCCTTGCCAGCAGCTCTGCATTCTCTCGAAACCAGCATGTCTGGCTGGGGCACAGGTGCCCGAGTTTGTGTGGCTCTTAAAATGTGCACGATTGCTGTTTCCTTGAGGACAGTTTTTCCTTGCACCGAATTTACATCCAATCAGTTGATATGTTCGGCAATCGTGTCGGCCCCTTGCCAGCACTGGCAACTGACACAGCCTGGAACACAGAAATGTAAACGTGAGTTTTCTGACGAGCAACATTTTGGCACCGCAGGTTTTGTGAAATTGAAATCCGAAGTCACTGATCGAGACGGGGACTCCCTGGCAGGCCTGTTGCCATTCAGTCGTTATGTAAGTTGAGGGTTCACGCAGTTGTCGGATTTTTTGCAGCTCGACCTTCGGCGGGCTGTAGTTCATTTGGCCGGCTCAGGTATCTGTTTTTTGCGGGGCGGCTCCGTCGCCGTTTTGGTGATTCTAGAATGCGCAGAGGACGGCTTCGAGCACTGCGTGCAAGTGCAGATTGATAACGTCCTTTGTCCAGATGAACCTTTGTTCCTCCGTGGTGTTGTAGTAGCTGCTCTTACGAATGCTCCTGCTGCCTGCATCATGGAGCTTAGGTCTGCACCGCACAGCCCAGGAACATGGCTCTTCCTGCCGGGATGTTGGATGGTCGCTGGGCCGTGACGGTTCTGTCACGTTGTGAGCTGCCCTGTGGTTCTTGTCCGCAACTACTTGCCAGGAAATGGTGACTTCAGTGGGGCCATGGCCCGGGAAATGGAAGAGGAGACTGGCATTAAATGTTCCGTCGTTCGCAACATCAACACATTTCTTTTCAAGGCTTGCCGGAAGAAGTCCTGCCAGCCGTCAGAGACAGCGAGCAGGCTCCCTTCATGCGCCCAGGTGATGCAGCAAACTTGGTTGACATGACTGCCCTCGCCTACGGGGAGAAGTTTGAGGGTATGTACCCTTCCGTTGGCGCATGTGATGAATTTATACGCCTTTTCCTTTTCAAGAGAGTCATGTGCCATGGCCGCAGCAGAAGAGTAGCAAAAAAAACTTCACTACACAACTCGAGTCGCAGTGCACGAATGGACAGGCCTCAGCGAGACATCGCAGCTTTGGAAGGAAGGCTGATGGGTCTTCGCGAGGAGAACGAGAAGATACAGTGGCTGTGCGAAATGTCGGTGGTTTCCGATGGTCCGAAGCCGGGAATTCCGGCAGGTCTTGGTGAGGTCATGCTGGCCTAGCGTGGCACGAAGAAGCTGCATTCAATCATGTGGTACGGCAGATCCGCTCAAATCGCTGCCTAGATCGTTGTTTGAGGCTGTGCCTGGTTCCGTTGCCGCTGAGCTGCACAGCTGGAGCTGGAATTAATTCTTCACTTACATATCCTGCAATTTTTTGTCCTGCAATTTTTTGGCCAGCATCAGTGCAACAGCGCGATGGTTCTGAAAACTGACTTGTGTGATGCGTCTCATGACTTAAGCAATTGGCAATTGCACTGCGAGGAAAGACCTTTGGCGGCTGTCTTCAGACTCAAAGGCGTGGTTCAGCCGGTTCATTTCCGAGCAGTGGGATCCAGCATTGCTGGTGATCTTGTCTCATTCTGTGGCTCGGGGTTCCCCAGCGAACGGGTGTTCGTGTGTGGTTCCGTGGCTTGCACTGTCGATTCGTCCAATGTTGCTTGGGGCACGTCTTTCAAGGTCCAGGTCTCTTTCCCGAAGTGGTGTCAAGCATGTGTGCCTAGGCGTGGTTTGCTCAGGCCTTGTCTGCTCTTCTCCTGTACAGCAAGCTGAAGGAAACCGGCCAATTGGTTTGAGCCCGCAAAACCAAAACTAGGTGCATGGAGCATGCTGCTCCTCGACTTTCACGCGTTTCACGCAGTTCTTGCACATTCTGATGGCAGCAAGCGGCTAGCTGATTCACACCGAGCGAGGGTCCCAAGATGCCCTGAGCGAGTCCTCGCGGCTGCGGTTTGCAGCCTGGAGATTGGTTGCGGTCTGGAAAAGGAGCTGAGTGAGGTGGCCGTGACAAGCTTGTCTAAAAGGCAGGTTTCCTACAAGCTGTGGATACTCTGTGGCTTCGAAGTTGGCTTAGATTGCAAGGCCCCACCAAAAGTAGGGGGAGCCCAAAAAGCATTGGATGGATGGCAAATATGCCGTGCCGGCCTTCCTCGATGTTAAATCGAGGGATGGCAATCTCAACCTGGTGCTGTGCGTGGTGAGCTGCTACAGCTGCACGCAGTCGAACCTGTTTTTGTCGCGGGGCTGCGGGGGTGTGAGGGGCGGGGGGTTGGGGGGGTTGGAGGGGATGAGACAGACAGACAGAAAGTCAGAACGACAAAAGAAAGAACTAAGGAATAAATTAGGTTATGTTACATTATGTTTGTGTTGTATTGTAAAACATGGATTAACATGGCATCTATACCTTCTACTACAATACAGGGTGATTGACTAGCTTGTTTTTATTATAAACTTTCAGCACAACTAAACTTGCGAGATCTTATTGCATGAAGTATGTACAGCCTTCCAGCGTTCCCGATGGAATAAAGGAGTGTTCTTATCACGCCTTGCAGTACTGGCCTAACTGCCTGATCCGGATAGCCAAACAAAGTGCATACTTTCGGCGTGTAACACATGGAGCAGCCATGATACTATCGTACTAGATTATGACACGACATAAGAGAACTGCATTATGTTAGAAGGTACACCATAAGTAAACACTGAATCACATTATGCATTGCTGCATCAGATTACGCAGTGTTCTGTATATTTAATTTTGTAACGTGTTGTATCAAACCATACAGACAGCATCCCTCACCGATGATGAAAGCAGAAAGATTGTGCCTTCAAGGCGTCATTGGTTGTCAATATCGCTTCGCGCTATTATGCAGCAAATACGGCTATGTCTACGACAATTATTCTTGTTCTTATTGATGCTGTTGTCATAGTTACCCCCTCTGAACTCCAACCTCCCCCACCTACGTCCGCGCCCCGCCTAACCCCCCCCACCCACCCCAAGCCTCGAACCTCCCGGCAAGTGTGAAAGCTTTAGCAGCGCGAATTGTGATGCCAAGGGATGCATTCGGCATGCCTGCCTAGGTTCCGCAGTTGCCGGCATTGGAATTGGCTTATTCGGCTGCCTGCTTTCTGCAGCTGATCACATCAGGCGCGGCAGAAGGCACAGACCTGACAGTCAGATTTGTGCAACTGTGGCGACTGCCTTTTCCAAGGCGGCGTAATGGTGGACTGCACACAGTGCGCAGCCGCTTTTTCTCCTGGTGACTGGGATGTTGAGAGCAGCTGTTGACATGGTGATGCGAACATGTTGGACGGCATGCTTGCAAGTCAAAACTATACGTTTCAATGTGATTGGATACAAGGATTGGTATGATTGGCTCCGTGGTCTTTGGATTGGCTTCGCTCGTCGGTCTGGTTTTCGGCTCGGTCAGCTTAGCCACAGTGGTGCGAGCTGGATCGACGCTGCCGGCAAACGCCATCTTTAGCCCGGGTCTCTGTGAGCAACTGCCGGGTCGGCAGTGGGTCAGCACGGATCTCTTTGGAAGCTTTCTAGTGCGGGTCGCGTGCCGACCATCTCCAGGTCAAATGTTTGGTTTGCGACCGCTGGTGCGGGATGATGTGCTGGGCACTTTGGTAACCATCTCAGGCACGGATCTTACAGTGGCGATGGCCTGATGAAACCTTTGAGCGATGCATATATTCAGATTTGCACACAAGCGTTTCCCTGCTTGCGTTGCTCTGCAAAGCTTGAAAGTCACTCGCAGGCATTATCAGCTTCACCATCTTCCAAGGGTGGTCTGAGTATCAGCACGACCAAAGTGAGTACCACTGCTGCAAATTCTTGGTAAGTCATCTTTCTCTGAGATGTGTGCGGGCTGTTGCACCTGAGAGTGAATCAGGTTTCTGGCTCGGATGTTTGCTCCAGGGTCCATTGTCTGGATGAGCATCTTGTTCATTCTGCAAGCCTTGTCGAGCTGCTGGCTGTATTTTCACAGGAGCTTTGTGCCTTGAGAACTCTTCGGTGTTGACTTGTGCTCGTTGTCGTGCATGCTTGCATAGGAGCACGAAGCGAGACAGTTCTGCTCTTAGTGTGGTCCATGTCATGTTCGACACAGAGTCAGCGGGGGCTATCGCATGGGTGGCAGGGCATGGACTTAGCCAAATTGGCTGGCTTGCATCGAGGCCGGGAGTATGCAGCAGCGGCTCGGTGCCGCGCTGTGGCAGCCACATTGATCTGCTCGTGTTCGCGGCCTGCTGTGCAGTAAGTTAGTGATGGTGGTTAACTGTGAATGCGAGAGGTGCGGCGAAGGTATGTCCAGACACGCTTAGTGACTTGTTGTAGTTTTTGGTGGCATTGGGCCCTTTGGCCTGCCGAGAGAAAGACATAGGGGGTTGTTCACACTGTAAACTGCAGTAGATAAAAAAGTGATTTGCCATGTCCCAGGTCAGCCTTCATGGACTTGGCAGCCAAGGGTTGGTCATCCTCTTCCAAGGTCCTGTCTGGACTGTTTGAGGCATGAGGCGGAGTGCTGCAAGACAGTCTCGTATTACCAGCAGGTCTCAGAAAGTGGTGGTGGGGTGAGCTTCGGTCTGGCATCGCCCACCTTCTGGACAGCGCTGTCTTTGAACGTCGTTTTCCTGATCCTTATGCCCCTGGCCTGCACTATGCTAGCCACAAGACTCCTTGCTCATGGACGGCGCGCTTCAACTAGTCTGGTCTTGAAACTGAAACGATGAGATTGCGGTGAGAATTGCACTCGCCTTGTTGGAGCATGCCGCACGCCCTCATGAAAGCCTGGACCTTGGTTAAGCTTGTAGGCCGCAGATGCAGTACTGTTTCTGATCCCTCGAAGCCTGCCAGAAGATAGCAACCAAAAATACTGCCAGACTGATGCTCGTAGATTGTAGATATCTCCGGAGCTCCAGATGCACTGCTTGACCGCATGAAATATGGGTCTTCAGTTGTCTAGCAGGGAGGGTGGACGATGGCGCATGAGCGGAGTAAGTTGGACTTTTATTTCAAACTCAGGAGATGGTCAACTATCTATGGTTGCCGACGCTACTTGGCTGCCCAGCTCCGGCGAAGCCGAGTTGCAAGTGGCTGACTGCTCAGGATGTGATGTGCTCATGTTTGTTCCCTTGAACACAACAGCCAACATCATCCTCAGTGTTGCCTCCGGCATGATTTGCCTTTCAGATGCTCGGCGAATTACTTATGTACTCTGCCGACACGGACCGGTTCCAAAAGACAGTGTGCACCAGGAGTACAAGTCCGTGAAATCTTGGCCGGGTCTTTGGACTGCTGGGCTGTCCATGCTGTGTGGCATTTTCATGCTCGTCACCGGGCCGGCTGAGACCATGGAAGCCTGAATGCAATTAGCCGACTTGCATTGCCTGGAACGACCGCCCATAGAACTCTGCGAAGTCCATGCATGCCTGGGATGCTGTCAGGCTGGAGCTGGGATGTCCTGCAACAGCTGGATCGAGCACTTGGGCTGCACGTGGGCCTGATGCAGATATTCTGATGTGGAAGTGTGTAGATCACTGTAGTAGACCGACAAGGGTCCACGGGAGCAGTCTATTATTGGTACAGTGGCTGTAGCTCGCAAGGGCTAGTCGACAGCACCCTTGCCTTTTTTCAACTTGCGAAACAGCCTCGTAAGTTACATGTAGGTTAAAGTCGGCAAATTTTGCTGCTTTCGTATGTCGTAGGTCGATCTGCGGTTGACATGCCACAGTTGCCATAGTTCGTTTCAGGGGCCGTTTTCTTGTCTTTTTTTTGTTTTTTTTCCAGTGCGCAGGAGAACAAAGAGCCAAGGTTCCCCTAGTGACAGCAATGAATTTATAGCGTCTGGTGTCTTTTTCGGAGCAGTCGCCACACCGCTGTCCCAGCTCTGCGGTATGATGCCGTAGGAAGGAAAAGTTCTCGCTGTCTTTGCCATGACTCGCGTTTTAAATTCACCCGGGTGTTGCTGGGAAAGCCAGACAGGCATCAACAATAATCAAAGCTTTTTCCGTATTTCTATTGGAGGAATTGCAGGAAGTCCGCCGAAGAAGACAACGCCTGCTTCTACAACTTATTTCTTGGGTGGTCCTGAAATAATGCTCAGGCCGGTTGAGGTGCATTGAGGTGCGGTTTGGCAAGTTGCTCATGTTTGTCGATATTGATATTGACTCATTTGCGGTTTCCGGCATTTGAGGTCGCCAGATCCGGCTAAGAGTCAGTCCAGGCGAGGCTGTTTTGTTGACAACCTTGATGTCGTCTGCTCAAGTGTGAACCTGTGACTCTGTTCGCGCTCTTGGTGTTGGAGGCCCGAGACTCAGACGCGGCGGACGTTGAGCCCTGCTGATCTTTCGCCAGCGACCTCCCCGGCGAGCTCTCATGACCGACGCGTGCCCGCAATTGATGCTTTCGAGCCTTTTGATATCCCAAAGAAGCCGGAAGTGATATGCCCGAGGGTGTTCGAAACAAGGAGTGATCCCCCGGGAGAGATCAGCCGCTTGTCTGCCTTTGGAGAAGGCTTTCCGCGCATCCGTGCGCTTCTCGGAATGTGACTTGCGATTGCTCAGAGGGCACATTACCGCCCTTCCCCTTCGCGAAAACAATGTAGGGGGGAAATCTTGGGGATAATGCTGCGCAGTTCCGGCTTGACAGCAGTCGCTGTGTCGACACTACGCAGTCTTGCGGCCTCCACGTCGAGAACTCGTAGTTGAAAACATGTTGAACCTTACAACTGCAGGTCGTGGAACAGTCGGAGGAGGACTTACGTTCTAAGGCCTCCGCGCTGGGCTTCGAGTCTTGGCTTGTGAGTCAACGAAGGACACAGCCTCTAATGGTGGATTCGAGGGCGCAGTTTCACTTTTTTCTTGATTTTTTTCGCAGCTGCTTGTGCACGTGGGCTTGGCCTAGGAGCTGCTAGCAGCAACTTCATGCATTTTGTTGCCGGCGACGCCGAGGTCTATCTAAATCGCATCCACCGAAGAGCTGCACGTGCGCGAAGTGAGCTTCTCGCCTGTAGAGTTGGCGTGAGCCGTTTTGCCCGGCAATGAGGAATGTTTTGGCGCAGTGAGTCTTGCGTTTTGGAGGATCGAAGGCTGCTTGGCCGAGAACCTTTCCGACCGGCGCGAGACGGCAGGCAATGGTTCACAGATGTTCACGGCTTAGAAACGGTTTAGTGCTTTGCTCCCGGCACCTTCGCTGCCGATTCGCCACTTCTGAGCCGGCCGCAGTGCAGGAACGGGGTCTGCGCCAACCGAGCCACAGCCGTGACCTCGACAGCAAGGGCATGAATAGTTTTAAGCTGGTTCTTTGGCCGCGGCTGGCCTACTGTTATATTCATGCCTCATACACGTGTGATTGGTGTGATGAATTCTGCATCAGACATGTACAGCATGGCATTGCTCTTTCGAAATGCACCCCGCAGCATCGATGTTTAGCTTCACTGCAGAAAACCTTGCTTGCTTCTGCCTGCTTTTAGGGGTTGCTACCTCTATCCATATTGGTAGCGGAGCGTTATTCGATCCTTAGTGGTTGGGTTTAGGTGCTCTGCTTTGCCTTTCCTTCGTGTGCCCCCGTGATGGCGGCAGCGGTGCCTGCGGCACCTGGTGGTGCACAGGATGTACCTGTGCCGGAGGATCCATGGGACGAGCGGGACCCATGGATGAGTGAAGAGCCAGCGAATGCAAGCTCTCCCCCCTTGGCTGGCGGAAGCTCTGCTTGGTCAATGGTGGGAGGACCTGGCGTAGATCACAATGCTTTGGGGGCTACCTGGACTCAGCCTATGGGACAGCCTATGAGTTATGGGCCTGCCTGGCCTTGGAGTGTTGGAGGTGTGCCACCCCCTCCGGCGATGCTACTTCAGGGCGGCCTTCCTGCAGGATTACCCCAAGCCCCGGGCCTTGCACAAGGACCAGCTGGAGCTCCACTTCCTTTACCTGTTCAGGGACAACCTGTACCATGGTGGACGGGAGCGGGCCCCAGCTGGGGATGGAACGGGGGCTGGCCTATGATGTCCCCAGCCTATGGCGTGAATGTTCCCTTGCCACCGCAAGCTCCAGTACAGGACAGCCAGCTACCCTCAGGCGGCTCGTCTTCTCCTTCCTCGACCTCCACGAGCAGAAGCGGAACAGGGAGAGCACGGGAAGCAACCGGACCGGAGCCGGCGACGACTTCAAGACCACAAGAAGGGCCTCGCGAAGACCAAGGGGGTCCTTCCGATCTTCCTCGGCCAGGTGGGGTTCCCGGCGGTTGTCCTTCTGGAGAAGGGCAAGCTTCTTCCGTACCTGCGGCTGATCTTCCTCGACAAGGAGCGAGTGATCTTCCTGGGCAGCCAGCCGGCGGTATGCCTGGAACACCCGGCGGCTCCTCTTCAGCCGGGACCTCGGAACTGCGGTCACTGCTCCGAAGGAAGGCCAGAGAGCAGGAAAGACCGAAGAGTAGTATCGGTTCTGTGCGTATTGAAGAATTTGCTGGGGACCGCCGCAAGTACTTGAAGTGGAAGAAGGCTATAGAAGCGCAAGAGAAGCTATACCGCTTGGAACCAGGTGAGGTCAGTATGCTGGTCTACCTTTCGACGCGGGCCGAGGCCCGCGATGTCCTCGACCAAGTTAAGTTCCCCTCTCAGAGCTGACAGGTGCCGAGGGAAGCCTGGTTCTTTGGAGGCTTCTCGACGAGTCTTTTGGAGAGAGTGGGGCCGAGCTTTTTGAGAGGGCCGAGCGCGAACTGAACAGCTATCGCCGTCTTCCTGGCCAAGCGATATCTACTTATTTGGCTTCTATGCGGCGGCTCAAGGCCCAGTACACCCGGATCGACCCCGACACGGTGATCTCCGACCGAGCTTGGGCACAACGGCTGCTCAACAGGGCCTCTTTGAGCAAAAGGGAGCGCTTGGATGTGTACTACTCGGCGGGCGGCTCCTACACGGCTTCGGGCATCGAGGCGGCGTTGCGCCATAGATGCTCTCAGGTGCACGAGGAGGAGAGACGCATCCCTACACCCTCGACGGCGTCTTCCCGAAGTACTTGGAGCTCACGGGCGTCCTCCTCGAGAGCCTCTTCTGCCCCAAGTTCATCTACGGTGGCTTCGCGGCGACCTCCTTTTGGGAAAGGAGGCGGCAAGCGCAACGGGGTGCACCTGGCAACCGAGCTGGACGAAATCGACGAAGACGAGGACTTGGAGCTGGAGGAGGTAGGCGACGACCTTCCCGAGGAAGGCGACCACGAAGCCGAGGACCAAGACGCCAGCGAGATTGCCGAGGAGCCGGGCGAGGACGACATCGCCATGGAAGAGGCCACAACGGAGGAGGTCGTAGAAGCCTTTGCGGCGGGCTGGAAGGCAAAGGCCAAGACAGTAGATGGCAGAAAGGCTCGCGGCTGGAGCCGGCCTGGTCCTAAGACTTCGTCACGTTCGCTGGCTGAAAAGAAAAAGGGGAGCACCTGCTCCTCGTGCGGCTTGCGAGGACACTGGCGAGGAGACCCTCAGTGCGCCAATGTTCTGTCAGGAAAGGACCCGCCGCACAGGAAGCCAGAGTCGACGAGCACTCGGGAAGTGAACTTCACCAACTTCACGTTTGTGGCGGGCGCGGGCCAGGAGGATGTTTTCCCTCCGCCTTTGCCTGTGTCTTCGGGCCCTGCGACGGCGGCACCTGGCTGGACCTCCTCGCCGACGTGCCCTTCATGCTTTGCCGCGGTGACCATGGACCAGAAGTTCTGCCGGGAGTGCGGGCACAAGCTTTCCCCAAAAAGGGATTGGGAGTTTGTTTCGGTCAAGGAGGAAGCTCCAGAGCCTCGACCGATGCGAGACGTGCGTTTGCCCAAGCAAGCCTTGACTGGAAGGGCCAAAGACTCCCAGCACACCGTCAAGATGAAGCCTCTGGAGGCCATGGCGGCCCTGGACAACTTGACGAAGGAGGACAAGAAGCATCTGCGAAAGATGTTGCAGAAGGAAGAGGACGAAGAGTGTGAACAACGACCTCTTTCCCGGGGCTATCCTTCGGAGATGGCTGGTCCAGCTATGTCCTCGAGCCCACCGTGGGTGCCAGCAGCCACGGCAGTCAACGCGGCACTTCCTACTCCACCGGCTCCCTTGCAACCACCGAGTCGGAAGGACAGCCAGGGCCGGGATAAGGTGGATGGAGTCCGCAAGCGCGAGTTGAATGATTTTCGGCGCGCCCTTTGGCAAAGGGCCTGGAATGGCACGAGAACAAGCCCATCCTCGGCAGCACCCGTTCCCTCCGAGAAGCAGGCCCGATGCCGCCACGATTTTGAGCAGCTGGTCTGGGTGGCGAACCAGCACGGGCACTATGCTAGGTGCAAGCAGTGTGACCTCAAGAACGTTCTCTACAATTCCGAGCGGCACGGTGTCTTGACAGCGGGGGCCTCACCTGAAGCAAGTCCTTCGGCGCCTTTGTCGGCAACCTCTGGCCAGGTGATCCTCGACAGCGGGTGCCGCACAGCCGTGGCTGGCACCAGATGGCACCAAGCACTGCAGGCTGAGCTTCGAAGACGCCAGATTTCCTGGCAAGAGATTGAGGAGAATGAGGTTTTTCAGTTCGGCGCCGGCGGCCCGGAGATTTCACAGAAGGCCTTTATCTACCCCGTGGGCATCTATGGCCGGGTGGATTTGATAAGGGTGTCTTCGGTGAGCGCGGCCGCCGAGAATTGCCCGGGCCTGGTGGGACCTTCGGAGCTTTCGCGGTGGGGTGTTTGCTTTGACTTTGCTGCCAAGACCATTGAGGTTTTCGGAGAAAAGCACCCTATGCTTTTGTCTGCAACCCGGCACCCGGCATTGGATATTCTCGACTTCCCGGCCGGCGACCCCTGGAACCAGCCTGGCCTTCAGGATCGGCGGCGGCTTCTGGAAACGAGTCCCCAGAGCTTGGCATTTATGGTGCTTGGCCAGGAGCAGACTGAGGATGCGGAAGCCAACCTCCCGAGCGAGGAAGAAGATGCCAAGAGTGACCCGGGGCCCCAGTTCTTTGGTGACTTCGGAGAAAAGGAGCGGAAGCGTAAAGTGGCTCACTGGCTGGGCCTCCTGGAGAGCGACCTCGGCATCAAGGTGATTCGTGACCTCCCTGACGCCGAGAATACCGGCTCCGAGGCGACCATGGCCAGTTCCCGGACGGCCCTTTGTCCCGGAGGTGGTTCGGACGGAGACACAATAAGTAGCCACGAGTTCGGTGTAGAAGCAGCCGCCGACGAGGACAGCGAAGCCACAGGCGAGGACGAGGAGCTGATTCCCGATGATCAAGGGAAGCCGTGCTTTTTCCACAAGGCCCTTCGCCAGAAAATGCGCAAGGTGACGGGCGATATGAAGGGCATGCTCCCAGACCATAGCCAGCACAAGCTTGTTGAGGAAAGCTCGGTGTTCTTCGAGAGCACCCCCTTAGCAGCCAAAAGGCGTGTTCGTCGCGCCGGGCCTTGGAGAGTTGTGGAAATTCTGACGTTGACCATGGCTGTGGGCATGGCCGCGTGCAGTCGCGACTGGGAAGTGGGCGAACCTATCAGCGCCGCTGGCTTTGACCTTTCTCTCCCCGCCGACCAGGTGAAGACCCACGAGTACCTGGAGAGATTCGACCCGGACTTCGTGATGATCACCTGGCCTTCTCCCTGCTGGGAGGATACCCCTCAGCCAACCGAGAGAGACGCACAATTCTATGAGCGGCAAGGACGTCAACGTGTGCATCAGAGGCGCCTTCTGGGATGGATCCAGGAGACGGTCTTTCAACTTAGGCGGCGCGGTGTTGCTGTGATCGGCGAGCACCCCTGGCATTCAGCAGCCTGGCAGGAACCCATCGTCGTGGATACTTGGGCTGGCTTGGCAGCGGGCCGGGCCGAGATGTGTGCCTATGGTCTGCGGAGGCCAGACCATGAGTGGGGCACCGGGCGTGGACTTCATCTTCGCCGGCCTTTGCGTGTGGTGGGCACCAAGGAGATTGTGGCAGGAGTGTGTCGCCTATGCCCCGGTGGTCATCGTCATGCCCCTTGTCTGGGGGGGGTTTGTGTTCAAGGCCAGTGGCGTTCTCTCGGTGATTTCTCGAGCGGCTATCCTGCAAACTTCGCCCAGGAGATTGTGAAAAAGGCCGAGGCCTACCTCGAAAAGCGTCCGAGGACCAGACAAGGAGAAAGCTTCTATGTGACTCCGGCCTTGCATGAGGAGGCCTTCCTGGATACAGACCTGGACTTTGTCCACACAGTCCTCTTCGATGACGGGGGGGGCAGATTTTCCAGATGATGCTCTGGACCTAGAGAACCAGAAGCACGACAATCCCGACACAGAAAACCACGACGAGGAGGGGAGTGTCGATTTCCCAGATGGTGTTCCAGACCTAGAGGACCAGAAGCACAACAATCCCGGCACAGAAAGCCACGACGAGGAGGGGTCCCTTGTAGATATTGATATGTCCGGTCACAGTCCCTTGCTGGAGCGGGTCCATATGTTACACCGTCGCCTTGGTCACCTTTCCAACGAGGCCTTGGTGAGAATGTTGCAGCATGGTGGGGCCAAGGACGAAGTGCTCAAGTTGGCAGCAGACCTGGCCTGCCCTACTTGCCAAACGGCAAAAGCCCCTCACAGATCTTTTCCAGCACGACCTGAAGTTCGAGCGGTTGTGTTCAACACGGTGATCCATGCAGACCTGAAGTACCTCAAGGATTTTCGAGGCGAGGTCTATGTGGCCCTCTCTGTGGTGGACGAGGCTACAAACTACCACTTGGCAAAGTTGCTAAGGAACCGGGAGCCGAGCCATGTGGCGGCCAAGTTCATGTCGATGTGGATTGGCCTGTTCGGGCCGCCTCAGAAAATACGCCTGGACCAAGGAGGAGAATGGGAATCTGACTTTATCCAGCTCTTGGAAGCCCACTCTATTCACTCCGAGTTCGTTGGCTCCCACTCCCCCTGGTCCAATGGCTATGCAGAACGGCATGGTGCACTGCTAGGTGTAGCCGTACAGGCAAATGTCGACGAGAAGCAGCTCACCGGAAGGAGCCAGATGAAGCTTGGGCTTTCTTGTGCGTGCCAGGCCAAGAATAGTGTGATCAGCCGAGGCGGCCACAGTGCACACTTTTTGGTTTTCGGGCGGCAGGCTGCATACCCCGAACTGCTGGATGATGAGGTCTGGGCTCGGAAAAGTCTTGGCTTCGCCCTGAGCATCGAGGGTGAGGTGGCCCGTGCCGCAGAACTACGTGCAGCTTCAAAGGTCGCCTTGCTGAGAGGAGACGTGCTTGAGAAAATAAAGAGGGGCCTTCGCAGGGCTCCGGCCGGAGAGAGGCGCAACTACACCCCGGGCGAGATCGTATATTTTTATTCTCCTGCTGGCCTCAAGAGCAGGAGGTACAAGAAGGACCTGGGCTGTTGGAGGGGACCCGCTGTTGTCCTGATGGCCGAAGGTGCCGACCGATATTTCATCTCCTGGAGGGGGCGTTGCTTGTTGGTCTCAGGAGCTAACCTCAAGGGGGCCACCGTGGAGGATGCCAACCGCCAGGACTTGCGAGAAGAGAGTGCGGAAATGGATCTCGCCAAGGGCTACGTTGACATGACCCAAGATGACCCTCCTCCTCTTGAGGCGGAAGCCCCTTTCTCGGTGGAAGGCCCAGACCTGGCGGCCAGGAGACGGCTCAATGGAAGCGGAAGAAAGCTGACCGAGGCACGTCGGATGATGGCAGGCCTCAAGTCGGTGAAAAAGGATCCTCAAAGGGCCTCTCGACCCCAAGCAGCGGCGGCGTCTACTGCCACAACGGCGGCCCAAGAAGGGGCGAACGATCGAGGATCCCCTGGCCCTTCCTCCTGGTGCTCCTTCTGAAGAACGTGCAGAAGAGCCGGTGCCAGAGCAAATTGTTGCTGACCCTGAGCAAGAAGATTTGCGTGATGGGCCCGCTTGGGAAGAAGCTCCTGTTCCGGCCGCTCCTTTGAGGGAACTTACTTTGGAGGAGGAGGCCTCGAACCGCAATCCGCTAGACGACTTGCCTTACCAGTTTCGAAAGAGGGGTCGCGAGGATGAGCCGGAGAACCACGAGGCCAAGCGTGTCCGGACCACCGACTTCGCAAACTATGTGATGGTGGCCCTGGCGGAGGAAGAGCTGAAAGGAGAAGCTGTGCCGGCCAATGAGTGGCTGCCCCGTTTAGAGGTGACTCGTTTTGGGGCCTTGCTGGACATGCCTTTGACCTCTGTTCGTCTCCACCGGGCCCCACGAAAACACTTCCAAAGGCCAGGTGGAAGAGGAGCCAAGAAACGCGTCACCGTGATGTTTGGCACTGACCCTGGGCAGGTGATGGTGGCTCAGGAGACGCCTCAGCAAGTCGCCGAGCGTCCGGCCCGTCGCTCCCCACACCTTTGGCGTGGCATTTCGCTCTTTGTGGCTGGAAAAAGGAACAAGCTTAAGAAGGGCAACTTGCAAGGTTCGCAGCTTTACCTCCGCAAGGACAACCGCACCTTTGTGGTTCACACAAAGGACACCGAGCTTGCCGAGGCCGCCTCCAAGGACTTTGCCGATTATTTGGCGATGTCAGAGGCTTTCCTTTTGAAGGCCAAGGCCAATGGAAAGGAGCTAGATCCTCGCTTCTTTTCCCAAGAGGAGCAGAAGGCTTTTGATGAAGCGGACAAGAAGGAGTGGGAAGCTTGGGTGCGCAACCACGTGGTGGAGGAGATCAGCCCGGAGCAGGCAAAGCGCATCCCGCGAAGCCGTGTCTTTGCCATCCCGGCCCGCTTGGTTCGAACGAACAAAGTGCAAGCGGGAGAAAAGGGGCTCACGGCGAAAAGCAGAATCGTGCTGCCGGGGCACCTAGATCCTGACATGGGAACTATCAGAACGGATGCCCCCACCACGCAGATGTCCGCTGTTCGCCTAGCCGTGGCTATCGGGCTTATGCACGGCTGGGATTTCCTGCTCTTTGATGTGAGCACTGCGTTCCTCAGCGGGAAGGCAGTAGATCGGGATCTGTATGTGCGCCCGCCGCGAGACCTCAAGTGTGTGAATGCGGCTGTCCTGTGGAAGATCCTGAAGTCGGCGTACGGCTTGAGTGAGGCGCCGCGGCTCTGGTGCATGCAAGCAAAAGAACTCCTGGGGCGATGCAATTTTGAGGAGGTTCCCTGGGCCCCAGCAACGTTTATCAAGAAACGGGGAACTGGTGTGGTCGCGATCTTATGCTTGCATGTAGACGACGGCTTCCTTGCAGCAAGAAAGGGCAGGGAGATCCAGGAGGCTCGGGAGGAGATCAACAAGTTGTTTTCCATCAAGGAATGGCAGGCTGTGAACCACGAGCCTAAGGCCTACCTCGGGATGAAGATATATATTGTTGATGGGATCTTCTTCAATGACATGAAGGATTATGTCCTGGAGATCCGGCCTCCTACTTGCGACCCAGGAGCCTCTGAGGAACGAGCCTTGGAACCCTCCGAGCTTCGAAAGTTTCGCCGCTTGGTGGCTCAACTTCGGTGGCCAGTACATTTGGTGATGCCCGAGTTCCTCTACTCAGTGAGTGCCCTGGCCCAGAGGGTTAGCAAGGCTCAGGTGAAAGACCTTCGTCAGGCCCGGGACACCTTGAAGGAAGTGCAGCAAGCCGCCACCCGAGGGCAAGCCATCCTGAAGTTCGAGAAGCTGCAAAAGGACGCCATCCTGGTGAGCTTCTTTGACGCTTCGCTGGGTAAGGCGGCAGACCACACCGCGCAACGAGGAGAAGTTCACTTCTTAGCCGACGCAAGCGTGCTCCGAGGCCAAGGCAGAGCATGCATCTTGGAGTTCCACTCGAACAAGATTGCCCGAGTGGTCCGGTCCTCCCTGGCAGCCGAAGGAGCAAGCATGGCAACGTGCACGGACAGGCTTGTGTACAACATGAAGCTCTACGACGTGCTCAAGAACGGAAGCCTGGAAGTTTCCCCTACGTGGCGGCGTGAACTGGGAAGCATTGGCCATATCGTCACCGATGCGAGGAGCCTCTTCGACCACGTCAAGGGCTCAAGCATGCTTGCCACGGAACGCCAGGTTTCCCTTGATATATTGGAAGTGCGTCAACTTGTGCAGGAGGAAGTGCTGGACCTTCATTGGGTCCCAACATGGCGCCAGTACGCCGACGTTTTGACCAAGAGCATGGCTGATGAACTCTACGGGCACCTCCGCTGTAAAGGTCTTATCAATGTGATACAGACCCCTGCTGATCAACTTGAAGAGGATCGGAGGGCAGCCCTACGTCGTGCGCAGCGCGAAAGGCGCAAGCTTCGCATGAAAGAGCAACACATTTTTTTGTCGATGTGATGAATTCTGCATCAGACATGTACAGCATGGCATTGCTCTTTCGAAATGCACCCCGCAGCATCGATGTTTAGCTTCACTGCAGAAAACCTTGCTTGCTTCTGCCTGCTTTTAGGGGTTGCTACCTCTATCCATAATTGGAGCAGCTAGCAACACAAAAGCTTGTGTTGTTTCGGTTCAAGATGCGTTCTTCGTGAGCATGCAAGACCGAGGAGGAGTGTTTGACATCATCAGCGAGGAGCTGACGCGAAGCCTACCTAGGCGTTTGTCTGCCTTTGTTCGCAGGGATGCTTGCTCTGCCACATCCTGGCCCACATGGCAAATTGTCATGTGCGTTCGTGTCCGAAGGTGATAGTCACTGTGTCACGGACATGGTGGCGTCCAGCATGCAGCCAGAGGCAAGCTTACAGTAAGCCGCCTGAGCCTGAAATTCAGCAACACTTGCCAAATGCGAAACTTCACATGTGTGCAAATTTTCTGTTCGCTGGCTGCCCGCTGAGATTATGTGCCATCTACAAGCCAAAGAATTGATTTAGAATCAGTCCCTCAGATTCAGAAGAGCAACTTGGTGCGGCGATCCAGCGAGGCCTTGAACCAGGGTCCTCTTAAAGTAGACGGGTGTCAGGTGGTGTTTGGTCATCTTCGCATCAGTACAGCAACCACCTGACATGGTGCAAGCCTGTCGGCTTAACCACACTTGTCTCCCCTGGTCGGTCACCACGAACTGCCAGCGGCAGGAGGCTAGAAGGATGCCTGTCCACGTTGCTCCCTACGGTGCCTAAAAAAACACCATGCCGGCTGGAGGGATTAGGTCCACGGTGCCTTGAGGTGGACGAAGTTTTGGCTCCTGCAGCTTCCTCTTTAGGCGGTTTATGCCTGCCCGTCCGGTGAGCAAGGGAAGAGCCAGCAAAGAATGCACAGACCTTCTGGCTTGCTGCTATCCCCTTTTGCAGAAGACGGCAGGCGATTTTAAAACCCGACCAGTCCATGCTACGCTGTCGCGTAACTTGTTGTTGTCAGCTTTACCAGCCCGCAGTGGCTAGGTGGGAGGCGGGTATCCTTGACCAAATTGCTTTTTGATGCAGTCTCGCCTCCCCTAGAGCATGCCTTACTTGACGTGATGGGCCACAAGTTGTCCAAGATTCACTCATCAATACCTGAGCACGTACAGACTCACATGTGGTCCGCGAGAGAGAGACTGCGGGTTGCATCGGGGGTATGAAATCGAGATAAATCTGGATCCAGCAACAACCTGCGAGAACTTCTGCAGTTCCGCAAGCCTTCACCATGCAACCCCTGTCAATGATGTCATATGATGCCTGCTTTGCACCGGGACCGTGCGTACTGTCGTCCCCGATGTGATCAGACATCAAAAGATCGCTCGAAGGTTGCCCCTGCAGTATGCTCGGGTTTTGCATCATTCAGATGCAGGCTGTCCGGCTCTGCATGTGGACCCTCACGATCATGTTGGACTCTCTTGTGTTTTTCAGTCTGGCTCGCGGGTCTCCCTCGTTTCCCAAGTGTTGCAGCGCATGTGTGGAGGGTAGCAGGCATGTCCGTCTGCAGCATGTTCTGCGGAAGGTTACCTACCTGATAGAGGGTTGGGATACAGCGAACGCATGCAGCCTACTCCGCGACGTCTCTGCAAGCCCTTGGCGGCCCTGTCCTTGCTTCTCATCTGCGAAAGCACTAGTTGTATCAGCTTGTCAAGCCCTGGCTGCCGCGGCTTTCACCCTGCGTTCCCGATAAGCAGTTCGATCCAACTCAAGTCGAGGCTACTCCTCGTGTTCGCTGATGTGAGCAAGCTTCTGGGCTTCGTCGGGTCGCGAGGCCGAGTTCGAGTGGAGTTCAGTCGTCTGTCTTGGATGACTGAGTCAAAGATAGTGTAGACCTTTGGCATGCCCAAGCAGAAGCAGTTCTAGAGAGCGGGGGAAGCTCAGAAGACAGGCGTGGGAAGTCGCCGGCCCTCGGTCGCGCGTGCGGCTGAATACAAGCAAGTAGCTGCGCCCTGCTCAGAGCACTGCTCGGAGTGAGAGTTCCGGGGGGCCTTCGGAGCATCGTGTGAGGTGGCGGGAGCCACGGGCCGGCTGGGGCGCTTCGTGGTGTCGGAATTGCTGTCCAAGGACCCGATCCGGTCCCCGGAATCGAGCACTGAGCCTGAGCCTGAGCCTACCTTAGCCAACGCAGCACTCCGAGCAGAAGAGAGGAAGATGAGCTCCAAGTCATCGCGCTGACCCGCAATGTGTCTCGAGCAGAAGAGTTTCTGCCTGCAGGGTCCTCGGTGTTTACCCGAATGCGCGGCATACAGCTTGGATCCGATCATCTATTGGTTGCTGCAACCAGGTAGACAATGACAAGTTGAAGGTCGTCACCTGGGACCCTGCAGCTGACCAGGCGTGCAAAATCCAAGCTCAAGCCTTGAAGACTGACGACTGTTGCGAGGCTGCAGCTGAACAAGCTGTAGCTGACGCCGACGTGGCGCTCTGGTGCGCCGAGGCCATGCAAGGGCTACAGACCCCATCTGCAAAGATGTTGCCATGTAGTGTGAGAGCATTGTGTTCAACTTCCTGAGGGTCGCAAGGGCATTGTCGCGCTGGGCAATGCTTTCAAGGCGAAGGGGCAGAGACCGAGCGGTGCACACCCCAGGGCAATTGCCATCTCGCTGGTGTGGTTCCATGAAGATAGCATGCAAAAGTGAGACAAAACGCCTATGTCCTACGGCCTACACTCGCAGCTTCAACTTGTGGGCGTTGCCTTGCATCACCTTGTAGAAACTAGGGGCTATGGATCATCTTCTCACCATTGTCTTCGCGGCATAATGAAGCAGGTCGAGCAGGTGTGGGCAACTTTTGTTCCGGTCATGTTGAGCTTGTCATAGAAGTGACATGCGCCGTCTCTGAAGGCTCCGCCCGTGTGATCATGTGCTCCTCAGCTGTGGGAGCCTCAGAGACCCAAAGGTTGGCGTTTCTCAGCGAGTCGATCTTTTCACGCCTCAGGCCATCACGCGGCCCACATGGTCTGCCGAACAGAAATCCCGGATGTCCGGAGCAGCCGACATCCCGATTGTCAGGTTGAATCCAGGTGCATCACGGTTCTTGTGCGGCCTTGGGCTCGAAGCGGGATTCGGGTATCGGCCTGGGGGCAGGTGGCCTGCTGGACGAGAAACGAGCAGCCGAGCAAGCCTTGCGCGACACGGGGGCTTCCTATGCGGTGGCACGACCGACGGGCCTGGGGCCCGCGAATATGAGCTTTGACCAGGGAATGGTCATTGGACCTTCAACAGAACCGAGGCCTGAAAGACGACTGGCCGGCGGGGCGTCCGGTGGTCTCTCAGGGAGATGTGGCTGTGGGCAGAACCTCTCGCCAAGACCTGGCCTCCATGTGCTCCAGCCCGGTTTCTGGAGCGCAGCTTCTACGGCCAAGTATGGGGGGCGTATGCGCAACCTGAACAACACCCTCCGAAACCTCCCATTCCATCCAAGCCCTAGCGTACAGCAGCCAGGCTGGTGCAGCTGCTTGCGCCTGCCTGAGCATGTCGATTCTTGTGACAGATTCGCCAAACTTGGTTCGTTTTCTCTCTGGAGCTTTCCAAGCTTGCGGCCTGCCTCTTGCGCACGTACAAGGAAACAAAACTTGTGTTTGCCGTGAGAAGAATGCACACTGCAAGCAATCTCGAAAGAGTAGACGGAGCACGGCTGGTATCCCAATTGCCTTCAGCGAAGCGTCGCCACAGCCTTAAGGACGAGCCAGAGGCGACAGGGAAGACTTTCGAGGCAGCGTCCGGGCTTGTGAGCTCCCTCCCGTTGCCCAGCCGCTTATGCCCTGTTCTTCACGAAGCCTAGCCGCTAGCCATGCGTTCCATGCGAGCCCTTGGGCATTCGGAATTCGTTCCTGTCGCTAGCATCCGAGACGTGACTGGCATGAGAAAACGATATGTTATTCGGAACTGAAAGAAGAAGAAGAGCAGCAGCAGCGGCGCATGCTTCCAAACTTAACGCACTCCCGGCCCGGCAAGAAAGCGTAGTGGAATTCTCGAGCAATAGAAATGTCGATGTTGGCGGCAGGCAGCCCGTGGCGTGATGCTCCAAAACAGGGGCGGGCTGGCAGCCTGCAGTGGTTAAACTGTCCAAACAGAACCCTGGCAGCCCGCAGCTGATATAAGGCTCCAAACAGCTGGGCAGGCTAGCCACCCGCAGTGGTTCAAATTGTCAAAAGAGGCAGCAGGCTGGCAGCCCGCAGCGGCTCTCATGTTCAAAAATGGTGTGGGCGGGCAGTCCGCAGCTGAATTTGTCCAAAAAACGGTGCAGGCTGGCAACCCGCAGCGGCTATGAAAGGCTATGATGCTGCAAAACAGGTGTGGGCTGGCAGTCCGCAGTGGTTAAACTTTTCCAAACATTCAATGTGCGGGCTGGCGCCCCGCAGCGGCTACAATTCTCCAAACAGGTACGGGCTGGCAGCTCGCAGTGGTTCAAGTTGTTCGAGCAGGGTGTGGGCTGGCAGTGCGCAGTGCTACAATTTCAATCAGGCAGGTGCGGGCTGGCAGCCCACAGCGCCTCGCATGCTCCAAACAGGTGCGGGCTGCTAGCCCACACCCTGGGCTATTGGACTGCTAGCCCCGCCCCGTTTGGACAGTTGTAGCCATTGCGGGCTGCTCGCTCGCCACTACAACCACTGCTGGGGGGCAGCCTGCACTGTGCTGTCATAGCCGTCAGGGGGACGGAGTCAGAAGCATCAAAAGAATCGAGCAAATGATTCGAGCATTGCAACCCACTACAGTACATTAGTGCTTATGCTGGGATTCTTCATTCCTTCCGATGCCAAACCTGAAGAGCACACTGGCTTCATAGGCTACGCAGACGAGCGGTGCTTGTGATGATGAGCCAGTGGTGCTTCATTTGGGCAGAGCGTCGTTGGGGTTACCTTGGTCATTTGTTGCGCAAACCTAGCATATATGTTGCAAAGCAGGACATGTTGGCACTTTCCAGCACACGACAGCATAGCACTGGACCTTTCTGCCACTTACACAAGTGGGGCATCGAAGCGCTCTGTCAAGATGCCGCACAGCTGCAGACGACTGCAAATGTCCGGGGTGCCTGGACGGGTGGCTTTCAGGGGCTGCGACATGTCTACAAGTACGTCTTTCCATTCGTCCATGCTGATTGCTCACCTAAATGGCGAGATATTTTCAGGATTCACGTTCCTCGGCGCTTGGGGGTTTATCTCAGAGGTTTCTCTTGTGTGGCTGGACCAGACTGAGGGGGATGCAGGTCTTCAACAGTTGCGGCTCAATGCCTACAGTCTTTCATGTATGCGTGTGTTGGTTGCAACTGGAGTTTAGGGGCCTCTTGCTGGAAGTGCATTTGCTGGAAGATGACACGCAGGCATACCTTCCACAGCTGCAGAGCACTCATAATAATACCTTTCGGGTTTTCCAGTGTCAAAATCTATACCAATATTTCGCATGATGTCGCTGCTCATCTACTTGCACTGTCATGAGTACTGTGCGTGTCTGCCTGTCTGCCTGTCTGCCTGTCTGCCTGTCTGCCTGTCTGCCTGTCTGGCTGTCTGGCTGTCTGCCTGGCTGCCTGGCTGCCTGGCTGCCTGCCTGCCTGTCTGCCTGTCTGCCTGGCTGCCTGCCTGCCTGCCTGCCTGTCTGCCTGTCTGCCTGTCTGCCTGTCTGCCTGCCTGCCTGGCTGCCTGCCTGCCTGCCTGTCTGTCTGCCTGCCTGCCTGCCTGTCTGCCTGCCTGTCTGTCTGCCTGTCTGCCTGTCTGCCTGCTTGGTTGCCTGCCTGCCTGCCTGCCTGCCTGCCTGCCTGCCTGCCTGCCTGCCTGCCTTCCTGTCTGCCTGCCTGTCTGCCTGTCTGCCTGTCTGCCTGTCTGCCTGTCTGCCTGCCTGCCTGCCTGCCTGTCTGCCTGGCTGCCTGGCTGCCTGGCTGCCTGTCTGCCTGTCTGCCTGTCTGCCTGTCTGCCTGTCTGCCTGTCTGCCTGTCTGCCTGTCTGCCTGTCTGCCTGTCTGCCTGTCTGTCTCTCTGTCTGTCTGCCT